TTCAAGGTGTTGTCTTTAACAATGATTCTATTAGTTTTCTTTCAGAAATGTACCACATTTTTCTGTTATTTACCGTTGAATGTTTTGCAATAAAGTGTTGAATTTACAATACCCATAAAATAAATGTCTTTGTTTTTTCACAAGGTACATTTTTGTATCAAGCGGTTGATTTTTTGAGTTATTCACGAAAATAACGTATAAAACGATGCGATGAAAAACAGTCACTTCAGGCCAAAACTAAAAACATTGACTATATAGTACCCGGGTAGTTATTCAATGCTCTAAGAAGTAGATATTAAATTTGGGGACTAACTTTAAAAAACACTGATGCTTTCTTTTAATTCACTTTTCTATCGACTCCGATGGGTATTTTTGCACCCCGAGGTGGGCTGGTGGTAACCACTCCCAAGGTAAATGCGTACACTGCGCTGCACAAGGTAGATATGAGAGTTATTTCGCTTATAGGTATATACAAATATATATATATCAAATAATAATAATAATAATAATGTATATATGTATGAAACTTAAACTGATGAATAAACAAAAAAATACGAAAATATTTCAAAAACAGAAAAATAATAAGGTACCTATTGGATGTAGAATGTCAAAGGTAATTTCTCTTTGTATTGTAATTTACAATAATTAATACGGTGCAGGTATAAGTGATCCAGTAGATAATTTTCCTGTAACTACAATTTCGCACACATTTTATGATTCTAGATCCAGAGGATAGATGAAGAATTAGTTATCTGGTTACAAAAAGAAACAGTTTTACCCGCAAAGCGGCGCATAGTATGTCATGCACTAGTATAACATAACCACTAGGTAGGTTTTCATTTGAAAGTTATACCTTTAAAAAGTCAGTTTATAAAAAAAAACATTGTTAGGTTATGCCCGAAAAGCAACATTAGAATTACTTTGTGTTTGAGGAAACCATTGTTACTACCCTATAGTCAAATTAAACTACCACTTAAGCAGCATTCCCAAATTGAAAAAATAAACCCTGAATATGGTTAGTGAATGTAGTTTCAATATTTTTCTCAACATCCTGGCAAAGACGTGGAAAATCAATTAATTTCAATTTTGTTCGATTTATAACAAATTTCAAATTAAAATTTAGTCTTATCCTGAATTATTACACATTCTGACATAATAAGAAAGATATTAAAATCGTTATGAAATCCAGCATTAATTGAAGGGTCCCCTCAAACCTACGATTTTCTCAAAAAATTTCCTAGTTGCTTTGTTGCTTAGCATCCTATCAAATGCGATACCTCATTGATTAAATTGTTACTTCGTGTAAATTGAGTTTTATGACAGTAGAGTAAAATAAGTTTTTTCATTTGAAGGTAGCTCTATTGATCGTTTTGGTTTTACAGCGACGATTAGAATTAATTTCTTACATTGACTTTATGGAAGACTGCAGTTTCTGAATTAATCAGCACAATGAGATGAGATCCGAGAAAAAGCGGATTGTAATCTCGAAAAAAGAATACTTAGCACGTTCGTAGTGATAACCTGGAAATTTATCTCGATTAGAACCTCCGCGTTTTGTCTTCAGGTGAAGAAATTTGTAATTTATGCTGAAGCAGTGTCGAGCTTATTGTAATTACAGAGACTTAACACTTTTTTTTTGTTGTAACCAAATGTTCTACACACACAGAATAAGCGTTCACATGATGAATATCTAAGTGCAAATTACGGAAAATCGCGCAGATTTTTGTACGTGCTGTAAATTTTCACTTACTTGGCTGTATGAAGGCAAAGGCGTATAGTCGGAGTAAGCTGGTACGTTGTACAACATTAGAAGGCGAAAGCAAAGAATCCTGAAGTTAAATCATAACAAAATGCAGTTGCGTGAAATTGCGGGAAGCGCGGTTTAAATCATAGTCGCCCTAGATGCACAAAGCACATGCTGCTCCGGTCACTTTAAACTTTTAAGATGTATACCGTTCGCACTTTTAATAAAAGACGTGCCCTAAGTACACAATTTAATTACAAAGATCCCCAATACAACTTCCAATTTACGGCACTTGATAGTACGTACAGCGCTACGAGTATTTTTGTGGAAGGACACAGAACCATCGTTTCCTTTAGCGGTGGGGATATGATTGAAAATCGAATCTGTAAAGGAGGTTTCAAAATTTATTATACACGCCTTTCGTACAAACCCCAGTTACGCCTTTTTAGGTGGAGTTTACTATTGGTTTTCCTTCAGAAATTTCGGTGGAAATGGCTTTAGTATTCCCTAAGAAGCTGTGATGGGAATTCGGCGTATTTTAACACCACCACGCGCTGCTCATTCGAAATTAGAAAATTTCCGATGTCCTCTCTATTCCCTCTGCACATATTTTGGAGCTACCAATTGAGTTGGTTGATTTAAGAATTTTACTTGACAGGAGACATTCAAAATTGTAACTTTGTATAAAATAAGTACTTATGCCATTGTACAAAGGACGACTGCACTTTGCTTTACGTAAAGGATCATTTCATATTGTCTAAAATTAGTATCCGGGTTTGAAATAGAAACAGTATAAGAATATACAGAAATAAAGACATTCTAGAATTATGTGTGTACCTATAAGAACTATAGGTATACCTATAGGAATACATATCTTCAAGAGCTTTGTGAAGATATAGGTTGTTAAGTTACTAAGTTTGAAGTTATGGGCAAAACGTTTCTTTCCCCTTAAAAGAATTGTCTATTTATGCATTTTGCAAGTATAGGTATCTTTAATTCAAGCTATTTCTAACTGTACCGTGGAAAGTTGTAGGGTATAGTTCCGATTTCTTTCATCTACATGTGTTTTTCTGATGCTGAAAAAATTTCGCGTCCTAATATTGAAAAAAATTTAAAAAACCTCAAAAAATCTTCGTTTTTTCGTTTTTTTCGTATCCATTAGTGGAAAGTAAATTGCTCCCAGTTTAAGGTTAAATATACTGCTCTAAGCGGATGCGCCATTATTGAGAGGGTTCACACATCTCAAGAGCCTTTTACATTCTTATATAAAAGAAGGCAATTTGGGTTCTTTTTGACAATTCATTATTATAAGAAGGGAAAGTCTTTATATTAAAACAACTGGTAGCAAATGAATTTTATTTCTTATACGCCACTGGTAAAAATGTTACTGTAACAATTTTTTGTAGTAAAAAAATTACATGGCTAGCTCAGTAATAAGTAAACTTAATGATTGGTACCTTGTGGAAAGTTAGTTCTTTAATTCCACAGAATCTGAAAATTAAAACCTGATGCTCTGGTTTGATCATTCTCAAGAAAATTTAAATATGTACATATGCTACATATAGGTAAATGGACTATACATATGTAGTGGTAAAAATTATTCCTTTAAACTTTTTTTTTCGTGATTTAAAACATTAATGGTACCTAATTCATTCAACGAATATAAATTAAAATTTTAACCTTATCTCGTGATGACGTGCCTAATCATATTAATTATCTAGATTTTTTTACTATTTGTAATTGTTACCTGGTACTATTCAAAAACAAGTTTACACGCCTCTGGATGCGAAATCAACTTTTAACCCACACAAAACAAGATACGAAAAATCGCATACGATTTTCAGTAAGGGAGTTTTTTGACACTCAACTCGCATTCCAAAATACGACTTTTAATTGATCGGCTCATATTCAATAGCACTGATCCTTGGTATGATTGATGATCGTAGATATCGATTGGTGAAGGTTTGACATCGCTGTGTCTTTTCGTTCTCGAGTTAAACGAGGAACAGACGGACAGAGAAAAGGACAGACGCACGAAACTATCACATGAGGGGATTTTTTTTCTTTCCAAAAATTTGCATAAAACTGGAATTCAACTTCGCAATTAATGAGAAAAAATCGCTTATCATTCATAAAAAATACACAAAACTGGTCGACCTCTTCAGGAATGTTTCTACAAAATTCCCAAAATGATCGACTCCTATTTCTACACATTTCTTCATTTTTTGCAATTGACAGTTGATTTTCTCCACCTGAAAGGTAGGCGAAATTCAGAAAATTGTATGGTGGAACGTTTTGTACAATACAATAGAGATGGTCTAATTAGAGACGTGTTGGTAATCGGTTAGTCACTGCGAGTGACTTACAATTTAGAGAGTTTTAGTCGTGAAGGAACGAACTGGGCCTCAGGTGTCTCTCTCTGTTGTTAATTCACTGGATTAATTGACCAATGTTCCGCAGTAGGGAAGTTTCATAATTAGCCATTATAACTTAGGGTTTTAACAGCCACCAAAAGCGCGAATTTCTTGTCTTAAAACTTTTTTAACAGTTATCGTTTTATTTAGAACCTATTGAGGCCCCATATACTTATACAAGAAAGGTGCACAATTTTGATTAATAAACTTTTTTTTTATTATCTAACCGTGCCAAATATAAACGAAACGCACCTTGCACCACAACGATTTCTTGCAAAAAATTTATTTAAACGCGAGCACGCTAATCCAATAATACATGCACTAACACGCTAAAGTGTTCGCGTACATATTAAGAAATTAACGTACTCGCACTGTATTTCCGGCAAATACCACTACGCGACAAGGTTCCCTTATTGCATAAAATCGCCGGTTATTATTGATTCTGTTCTTAATGGCAACTCACAATGAATTGATGGAGCACCCACGACAATAATTTAGTCGAAATAACGGCACAATTTTCCGATTGCGCAGTTGAAAATTGTTTCATATACTGCGGTTATATGGCTTTCGGTTCGAACCGTTAATTGTAAATGACTTTTTACGCGATCTCAAACTGCCGCGCTCAACTCTTGCAGTTTCTGTACTTACCGTTATCTTCATCAATAATACCTATGCAATCCCACTTGATCTAGGACACCATCTATAAGTTGCTTTAAAAATCGGGATACAGGCATTTCTATTGTTCTCTATCCATAACGTTTTTTTGGAAATTTTGGGGAAAATATATAATTAAATGATATATAATTAGTATATAAACATTAATATAAATTAATAAGCTGGTTTCGCATTCACTGAAGCGTTTTGAACCAAATCTACCTAGTGGTTGCATCTCCATTTACTTTTTCTTTCCTTTCTTTTCTTTCCCTTTTTTGGAAGGTTTTGGTGGTGGCAACACAGTGTTTGGAAAATACGCCATGTAACTTTCCCTTATACCTTGGCAACTAACCATTTTTTTCGGCGTTGAAAATTGGTTCACAATTGCCGCAATTAAATCAGCATCGATCTTCTTCATTTTGAACTTTTTGATTAACGCAGCAAAATCCGAGGGCGATAGATCGTTTTCCGGCAATTGTAAAATAAAGTGCCTGCAAACGCGATTTGAGTTACCGAGATTGTGATATGGACCGTATACCCGAAGTCAACTTGCGCTTTCTTTTTCTTCGCTTTCATCGCTAAAAATTTGGCACGATTAAATAATAGGAGTATCTTATCAGGTCCCTTAATAACATAATTGCTCAGTACGCTTCCTATTATAACCTTCTTTCCTTCACGTTGTAGTGCTGTCCACAACTACAAAGCGTTATACTTATTTTACAGGTTCTAAATGCGAAAGTCACTTACTGGTACGAAATCCTTATTAACACAAATATTTTCGAGATTAATCTCAGACAGTTGTTGTAAAGATCGGAAGAGCTTAAGCAAGTCTAAGGCTTGATCTGGTTCGATGATATTATTACCAATTTTCAATACTGCCAAATTGCGGCATCTCATCAGTCCAGTGACAATGTTTCGCAGTGAGTCACTGGATAGACTAAAACAATCCAAAAATGTATACACGAGATTTCATTTTTTGCCCAACAGTAATTATGAATACTCTGTAGATTTCGAAATATTTAGTTTGCTCGTTCCCTCCAAGACTACTTTGCCTGCTTAAAGCACCCTCAAAGAGATTAGTGAACAAATCAATTGAATTGATTTGGTAGTATAGTGGCTTATTAGGGTGTTTTGTCAGAAACATTGACACTCGAGTTGCAGGAGATTAAAACAAAAATATTTTAGTTGTAATAGTGATTTTTTTATTGAATTTAGAGGGTTTATTAAAAAATAGTGGGGTGATGCTTGTGTTACCGATTATTGCTGATGTCAAAATGCAATAGATTAGCAGTGGTTCTCAAAAATACCGCAATTGCTCGAGTTAAATCCTTGTCACTGATCCCATTCCATGCCAAAACTAATTTGTTGATCCTGGTACTTTTAGATAACGCTTGGAACAAAGCCTTATTTCCTAGAAACTTCACTGTTAGTTAGTGGGTATTGAAAGTGTATTTTTAATACGACGTACACTGCATAGGTACCAGTGGAGAAAAAAGAATGTGTTACAAAATTATGGTGTGGATTCACCTTTAGAGTTTGCATTGAACTCGTTCCACGATAAATCCAGCTCCTCCAAAACATCCAGATCGGCAATTATACGACTCAATATCATACCCGACTCACTTTCGAGATTGTTGTCACTCAAATTTAAAATTTCAATCGATCCACTTTCTCGTAAACCCATTTCTAAGAAGGCCATACCTTCATCTCCCAAATTGTTACAACTAAGATCTAACTCAACAAGTGCTCTGGAGTTCTGTAATCCTTCAGATAACAGTTCGGCGCCTAAATCAGGACGTTTATTTCCAGGAAGTTTCGAAATCTTAACCTTCCGGCTTGATTCTGCATTCTCGCAAAACCAATTTCCGTATTGTGGAGTTGAACACTAGCATGTCGCTTATGTGCTGTAGACATTTGGGTTCTAACCAGTTATCCTGAAGATCTACGACTTCGATGTATTTGTTGCGTTTTAAGGTGTCTATTATGCACAACACTTGTTTTTCTCTCAGCCCGTAATACTGCAAAGTACTTCGTTTAAGAGGAACCAGGAGAAAGGAAAATTAGCAACCTTCAAATTCAACTCGTCCGTTTCCAGGGATGATAGCACTCTTCTCAGGACGGGGATGTTATGAAACTTACAGAGTCTCAGGTAATTATCACAGCCGATGCTGTCGAATACTTGCTCTGGTTCTGCGAGAAAAAATTTCAAGGTATGTAAGGTATTTTAGCTGAGAATAAAATACCTTCATACTCGATTGCCTCTTCGAGTCCAGGATTTGGGATGATTGGGAATGGATAAAGAGGGTGGCGAAGTATGGAACTTCGTGAAACTGCGATTTGTGTTAGACATTTAAATGAATTTGTATTTTTGAAAAAGAGATCTTCATCCGCAATTGAAAGGTTACTACCTTCGGTAAAAAATTGGTCTATCGGTAACACAGTTAAAGTGTCTGTCATTATTAGTAAACTATGACAGATGTTGACACTGGGCAACTTAAATGTAAGCAATTTGTTGGCTAATAAATTACAAACGGGACTGCATTTCAACTATTTTTTTTATAGTATACACTTCATTTCCCTTTGGAAACACCCTATTTCTCAAATAATTTGTGCAAAATCTTGGATACATAATTTGATTCTCAACTATATGTATAACAAGGCTACATCATTCTGAAGCGAAAGATCCTTTTTTTGCAAATTTTTCATATTGGAGAAAAAATAAAGGTAGTGGATCTAATATTGTTATTGTCGTTTGCCGCAGACCATACATCCTAGTCTATGATCATTTTTGACTTCCTGTGCATTACCACTTTGGATTCATTATTTTATTAATATTTCTGACATAGGTATTAAGACTATTCATCACTGAGAAACTTATTCGTGAATCTCTCGTGCGTCTAGTAACAACTAAAAGTTTCCATAATCGTTTTTACCCTTCAATTGTCACTCGAATTCTAGGTCAATTCTGTTTGGTACCAAAATTATAAGTTCTTAATTTTGTTTAAATAATCACCCTGTCTTTATTTATTTGATTAATTTTATTACATATTAAAAGACTAGATTTAAACATCTGGATAAATAATTGCGTAGGATTTATAAATGTTTATCTCCGGGCGTAGGTATAAGGAGTTTTATTATCGTGGCGTAAGCTAATTAGTTTCAAGATAAGAAAACACAAGTGTAGTTTATCGTTCAACGACGTGTTAATTTGTTAAGAACGTGGAGGAGAAAGTTAAAAATAAAAGGAAATGGTTTTAAATAGAGGAGACGGACGTTAATCGTACCCCTTTTGGTGGTGGACGTCAGTTGGGGCTTGGATGTGAATTAATAACATTTATGGCAATATCGAGAATTTGGTCGTAGCAGACGCCGGACGTGTCTTGGAAAAACTATATAATTATTTCTTTTAAAGGTTTTGTCAGTATGTGAGCTAGCTGGACAGGTGTTTATGTGAATGCTTTAATGACGGTTTTCCACTACACATAGCAATATATATACATACATATACAAGGTGTACTATCTTAGACCCCTCGGATCATAATTCCTTTCCATAAAAGGTCCCAAAAATTAGAGCAAAATTGTGTATAATTACCGTCGCCATGTTCTAAAATATTTTTGTTGCTGTGCTGTATTCTAGTGGCGTATCAAACGTTGGGTATTTTAATGGAATACCGCATACATTCTTGTAGATTTGCAATTTACTTGAAAAGTATTTATTTTTTATGTAACAAGTTATACTTACTCTTAACTTTAACGATTTCGCTGTTATAACCTTTTTTTTTCTTTGCAGGCGATTAAGGTTTGAATTGGCGCATAAGCCAAAAGACCTCTTCCACTGTCACATAATTTTTTTAGGTACTTTATGGAAAAATTCAAATTTTTGATTGACCCCCGGGACGTGTGGTTTTCTTTGTATCAGGCGAAAAAAAAATGTAGTTTCGAATATTAAGGGCTATAATTGGTATAGGGGGGTGCCATTTGAAATTTTACAAATATGACATTTGGCGAAGGTCAATCAAAAATTGTTCGATAAAGTACCTAAAGAAAATTATGCAGCAGTTTAAGAGGTCTTAGCCTATGCGACAATTCACAACTTAACCGCCGGCGCGATTTAGTAACTAAAAATTTCCAAAAACTGTCAAATTTTGAGGAAAAAAGGTTATAACAGCGAAAAGGTTAAAGTTAAGGGTATAACATGTTACATAAAAAATAAGTACTTTCCAAGTACGTTAAAAATCTGCATTCCATTAAAAAAACGCAAGTTTGATACGCCACTAGAAACAATGCGAGGGTAATTATGTACAATTGTAGTGTAAGACTTTTTCTACGCCCTGTATAAATAAGGTACCTAACAAAAAAGTCCCGGAATGGCCAATTAGCGCCATTATTTACGAAGCAATTTTTTAAATAATTGCCTTTCTTATATAAAAAATATTAATACCTACGTTTACTTTACTATTGATCTAATTATTAAAATCTTTGAATAAGTAATTTATTCAATGTTAAAATTAATACTTTCTTCAAAGATTTTTATCAAAGAAAAACCTTAGTTATGTGTTATAGCATTTCTTATGTAGTTTTTTATTCTGCGTCATACAAAGTGTCGCATTTAAAAATAAAAAGTTAAGGTCATTTCCGGAGTTCCTGCCAAACCGTAAGTCGAAAAAAGAAGAGATTAAATGCATTCATATTTGTTATACAGGGTGTTACATATAACTGTGTACAAAAAATTGGCCGATAGAGTGGATCAAAACAAGTACTTTTTCCAAATAAACAGAGGGTCCAATGTGTTTCGTTTGGGAGCCACACTCAAAGAAGTATATCTGCATTTGTTTTTTAATTTTTTTCTCAGCAAGTGACACGTATTTGATTAGGTTTTGGTGGGGTATGCCCTTTCTGATTTTGCAATTTTTTTTCAAAACTCCTACCACGAAAAGGCGCATTCGTAAATGAGGATGCGAAAAATATTATGATTTGCCGAAATTTGGTACTTGGGGGTTTAAATATGAAAATCGCGAATCTGAACTTAATTTTCGATTTTGCAATTTTGGCCGGACAATTAAATTGGAGGGAATTCTACGAAATTCGTTATGTACCTTGATGAGTTAAGGAACAAAATTGTCGAACATTGTTTTAAAATCACTTTTTAAACAAAAAGCTACACTCATTTGAGATTGCCCTCGTCAGGAAAGTTATCCCCCGCCTAAATAGTCATCAAATTTCGCATGTAGTTTTAGTTGAAAATGTCGCAAATAACTTTCCACGTTTGCGTAATATTCACATTCCTCTCGTGTGCAGGTCTAAATACAAGAAGAAAGGGCCATGCCCATATGGCTGATTTCTTTTCCCTATTCCAAGATATAACAGCTCCAGAAGAACGAGCGTGAGAACTTAACCAGGAGTCCATAATCGTAATGGCTGATACCCAAACCAGTCTGAGTCACTATATGCATAAGGTGCACAGTTTTCTTTGTAAAATTTCCGTGACAGAGTCCCTTATGCATATGAAGGAAAAGGAAAAGTCTTTTTACAGCCCACCAATGACCAAGTTCGGGAGTTTCGCGAGTCTGGTTTGTTTCGAAAGGGCGCGTATTAATTACATTTCTTAATAGCTCCGGATACAGAACAGAATGTTTCTCTATTTTCATCTATTGAACCTAGGTATTAGTCCCATTTTTAAAAGGTTTTGTATTTTGATCTACGGGAGCAATCAAATGACCTGCACCAAATTCTCCTTTACTGGTACACTTATAAAGTTAATTGGCTCCTCAATTTGTAAAGTACTGCTGGACACGAAAATCTGGACTTGAGGCGATCTAATCACAGACTTCGTCTCGTCCTGAATCTGTGCGTCCCAGCATCTGACAACGCATTTTACAGCAAATTGGTTGCTCTTTTCACAGGTCTTATAAAGAACATACACATTACCTATATTTGAAAAACAACAGTTTGCATCGATTTCGGATACCGGAATTTTAAATATGCGATCGGATAGATCGTAATGTCACATATAAAATTATGTTCAATAATGACACTCATAAAATTATATTGAAAGTTGAACTAAACAAAACTAAACAACGTAACGTTTACTCTGTGACAAAAATGAAGCATAGTCCAATAAATGAACGAAGCAAGTATGGTATGCAACTTGTGATACACAACATTATACAATAATCTTAAAAATTGCCTAAAACGGAGGCGTTTAAACGATTGACCATATAAATAAAACACAAATTATTTTCTTTAAATGAATATATTTTCCAAGCCAAATTCTATCGAATCGTCTTCCACTAATTTACTTTTAAAAAATGTTCCATCATTATCATAACTATATTCTACTTTTGCTAATTCTGTAACAGTTTGATAAGGTAGCTTTAATTTGTTGTATACACTATCACGACCATTATAATCTAAATTTAAAATCTGGCGTTTCTTAAACATATTTCCACCATAGACTTGAGGTTTTAAATCTAAATGGTACTGTAGAAACCTTAAAACATCATCAAAATGCTGTAAGCTATTAAATATTCTACGTTTACTCTTTGTTAACAACTTTTCTAACATAAATACTAAATGGTGATGGAAACATTGAAATGTTAAATTGGGAGGACGTTCTGGAATTGTAAGTTGGTTGCATAAATTGTCACCAAGGGTGCTGTTGAAACATATATCTAACCATTTTTGTACACACTCAAGTGGGGTAGATTCTGTACCAGTGAATAGAGTTGGATTTGTTAACAACCCATTTGCAACCATTACACCTGTGAAACAGACTTGCAGTTGGGTTTTACAAAATAGATCAACTACCATTGCAACTTGATTCCTTCTGGAGATTAAGACAATCATCCAAGGTTTTCACACCTCCATTTCCAATAACCGGACAGTGTACATTTTCAACAATCAATTTTAAAGTGTTTGTGTCAATTGTGCCTACACTTTGTGATGGTGTCCTTGCATGTACAGCTAGAAAGCTAATACCTGCTTTTTCTAACTGCCTGCATGTCTCAATAGTTCTCCTGAAATGCTCATATGATGATGAATGCTCATTTAATCATACACTCACCTAACATCTTTAAGTACTCGTACCTTTACACTAACAGTGAAGGGTTTCAAAATTTGATTACGACACTGTCGTACTAAGTCTGATATGACCTCTGGGTGATTTAGCATTGCACAACCGATACCTAGCTGCTTTGCCCAAGTTTGTGGACAACCACAATTAAGGTCAACACCATTGCAATACCTAAAAATTAGGTAACTGCAGTGGTACAAATTAGTGAACTTACGGTGAGACCATATGAGCAGCACCTACAAAGTCTTGCACTGTATTGGCAGCAAATTGAGCAATTACCGGAGCATCCTCTAGAAAACATTATACAACACAATGGTCAGAATAAAAGGTGTGTACCCAAATTTGTTGTAAATTCGTTGTCCCTTGCTTTACCACTGCGACAAAACGAGTCTGCCATAATCATCGGGGTGTAGCACAAGTCACAATTGTATTCCCGTACCAGTGTTCGAAACTGCAATCTGTTAAACTGCAGTGAATTTAGGGTTTCTATGTTTATGGTTACTTACTTACTGTAACGGACCATTGGTGCGCAAACTGTTACTAATGGTTTCTGTTCGAATAAATTCAAAATGTCGCCTTTCTCACACATTTTCTTGTTGTTCTGAAAAGTATGGTTAGGAAAAAAAATAGAAATGGTAGGGTTTATGACTTTATGTATTCACTTTCAGGTTATGTTAGACACAGACAAAAACTATAGATCATTTGTCACAGAATAAACACATTTTCTAGTGATTACACTGTTTCCACAATTATAGTCGCCCAACTAATTAGTTTGGGGTAGAACATTAATCACGTGATGTTTTTAGAAACTTTTTAACCGCCCGCCGCCCCCCTGGTGATACGTAAGCCCCCCCCCCCCCCTCCTATCTAAAATCACGTATATTTTTTAGTACATACATTTTCTGAATATTATCTCTAAGTACAGGTAAGAACCTAATACCTATCATTTAATTTAATTCTGGAAAATTAAGGACCGTGATAAAAATGTCAAAAAGAGACATGAAGGTTGCAGATTGTTTTTGAGTGGCATAAAATGTTTTAGCGAAAAATTAAATACACGTGATTTTCTCAATATATCAATATATATAATATATATATATATAATATATATCAATACGCATAAAGTAAAGTACGTGTACCTACGCGTATTTTTTTGGAACTACTTTTCTAATTCTAGCTTTTAGTGGCTCCTCAGGATTTTTCCAAAAAGATCTTTTGTAACAGGATATGCAGAACTACCTTTAATATGTATCATGAAGATTTCTTAAATATTTTCGATGATCGAAAATTCGAAATTCTTAAATAAGTTTTAATATTTTTAATATGAACTACATATATATGAAATATTATTTAAATATTCGCCGTGTTGTGCTGCTATCCCAAATCCGCGATCCCTATACTACGTTAGGTCGCGAACACTCGAGTACATTCGTATATGGTTGAGATAAAAATTTTATAAATAGGATTTTTATACTTTGAGTATCTTTTGGTTACCACCTGACCTGTAACTGTAAAGATCGTTCCTTAACTAGGAATGGAATTTCCTAATCGAGTAAAATAAATTATACCTCAAATACCTATTTACTCTGAACATGATGTGCGGTTTTTTCAGTGACTCAATTGAATGCGAATAAAATTATTCAACAGTGCTTCCCAAGACGCGTACGTAATGCGTGAAATGCCATTCAAAGGTTATGTTATGTTGACATTATTTTCTATTACCTGCAAAATAACAAAAGAAACAGTAAAATTATGATTTATGAGTCTTAATTAGTTCTATCTTCTATTAATGGATTGTTTGAGGCGTAATGCTATCAATCCACTGCAAATCAGCAGTAGACGTTTCCGGAAATTGACTTTGACACGGAGAAAATTTGATTCCGATTATCATTTTACCGAATGAAGTCATTGCAGTGCGTTTGTATTAATTATGATTACAAAGGACAATGCGTGCAATATTTTTAGGAATGTTGAGTGACATTTTGACAAAAGCAATATCCATGAACAATCAAATTTCTTTAATAAAAAAACCTGAATTTGTTAGTTTTTAAATATCTCTCCGAATAACGATTTTAAATTCAAAAATCAAAAAAGTCTATTATCAATTATTTTACCTTTCGCCATCTTTAAGAAACGTTAAAGATGTTAAATTTTGTTTTTTGATTTTATTTAGGCATAACTCGATTATTTTTGTTCATTTAACCCTCTCTATCTATTTTAATAAGAGAGATCTCTGTAGTTAACACGAAATTTGATACAACCTGTATATACAGTACGTGTAAAGAGTCCGTATATAGTTAGGGAGACATTTCTGGAAAAGGCTCTCTAAATCATGTCTAACGCCCTCATTAATCAAACTGCACATTCATGAAAAAAAGTATCACTTTCAAAACTTGTTGTACAAATAACTATTTCACTGTTTTTGGACTTTCCAGTCGCCATATTGGTATTTAGGCCCCTGGCATATATATGGCGCTGCGGGAGGTCCCCACATATTTAAATGTTAATTTTAACATAGAAATAAATATTGAACGCCGGCACTAGGCCAGAAAGAAAAAAAAGGACGAAAAATGACGAATTTTGCATTTTTGACGTTTTTAAGCAGCATTTTGGCACCTAATATGGATACCAAAGTGTACTTAAACGGTGTCGTCGGATGTACCAGATGTTATTCTACCCGTAAAGTACCCAAAACGTTCAGCGGCGTGCCTATGAGGGCTCGAAATAACCGAAAAACGGCAATTTCGGCCGCCATCTTGGATTTGGGGGCTTAAATGCCAAAATGGGGTCTGGCAACAGGGCGCATCGTTTTCAGCGGGGTCGAATTAGTCTAGAACCACCTGTTGCCAGTTTGTAGCACAAAACGCCGTTAGATATGCACTTTTCAGAAATGTCTCCCTGACTAATATACAGGGTGAGCTTTTTCTCATTTTAAGCATTGGGATCTCGGAAACAATAAGACATAGAGATTCGGTTAAATGAGGAAAGAGTTGTCGTTTTAAGGGCTTATTATTTAGATATGCTTTTGTTTTTTGAAGAAAATCCACAGTTTACTAGATATGAGCGAAACAGATTTAGTGATTTTTCATTTACCTGTTGTAGAATCGTTATTATTAGAAATACAACAAAATGACGCAAATAAAAGTTTCAGATATTTTAATGCTTAACATGCTGAACATACTAATTTCCTTCTATATTTTACAATTTTTGAGTTATAGTACAAACTTTAATTTTTTAAATGGTAGTTATAGTTGGCTTTGAGATTTTTAAAAAGGACCAATTTTTCTCTTTAGAACGATACAAGGTTTGCTAAATGTACTTTAATAAATAAACGCGCTGCCGGAATTTTCGTATTATTGAGAGGTAAATAAACAGAGTTTTCCATGGAAAACAATATCTAGTTAGATAGGTAATAGTGGTAACTGTGGCACATTTAACATATTTAAAGGCCATCTTCGAAAATTCACTATGAAAGTTAAATTATTAATTATGCCTATTCAATACGCAAATATTATACTAGACTGAGTAATTAACTGGCAAACTCTGTTTTTACTACTTTTAATAATACAAAGAGTTCTGTATCATGTTTATTTGTCAAAGTAAGCACAATAAACCTTATATCATTCTAAACAGAAAAAAATTCACTTATAAAAAATGCAAGTTTCCACAAAATTAATAGTCGTTTTGCTTGACACTAGTGGAAATGGTTCATCCTGGAATTTGAATGTAAAAGAAAATATTGTGACTGATTTGTGGACTGGAAATATGTTAGTCGGTATTAATTCTCGAGCCTCACGTCGCGTCGCTACCATTTTATAGAACGGAATATATAACAACTATATTACTATATAATATATAAATTAGTTCCTTTTGAAAGTGGGTGTACATATAGTATCTATTTGGGATTTGTAAGGTGTAACTAATAACTAATTGTTTTGGGTTTATAATGTATTACCATAGATTGGTCTATGGTATTACTATTACTTGGCTGATCATTTTAGTTATATTGCGCAATTGGCGCATTTTATGTTCGTCATTCATACCTTTATCAACAGATATCGGGAAGGGGGATTGCGAAATTTTTCTCCAAAGGTAGCCTACGTCGTACGCAAGTGCGCGTGATACCAAAGGTGGCAGTGAAAAACGATAGGTAGTCCAATATGAGTGTGTGTGTATAGTAACGAAGACTATCCTCCTCCAGAATAGTCTTTGGTAGTAACTGTAACGACCATAGATTTTCTATTTTCACTCGTGCGACCTATATGGATGACAAATATCTGTATTTCGTGTAACCTTAATAAGAATCAAACGCTAACTGATTCTAATACTCACACATATTCTATTATTTTAGTGTCTTATAATATTGACATAACATTCCTAACATCACAAAGTTAGTAGGTACTTCCACTCCCTCTTCAAAAAAAAGTTGAATAAGAAGATAAGAGGCTTTGGCGTGTTTAAAAAATGGTTGTTAATTGGCTTTAATGTATTGAATATTCTTATAATGCAGGTTTAAAAGTTTGTGGCCCACACTATTTAATTGTGCACTATTTTTATTTTAGGTTACGTGCCTGTATTAAGTTCCCGAGCTACGATCCTGAAATTAATAAAAATGGCTAGGGGGTACCTTAAAAGTAAGTGTTTTCAACAAAAAAATTTGCGGGAGAAGTCCGAAATTTTCCACATTCTTAATAAAAAGTTCAATTAATTTCGTTGAAATGTGAGGTTATGTTACTGCATGTTCCATGATCACTTTAAAGTTGGCAATTACGAACATGACAGGTACATATTAACTCAAGAGAAGGATTTAATCGAGCTTGAAATACTAACAAAGTTGCTATACGTACGTACTTCTAAAGATTTTCTACTACAATTTGATTGCACTTAATCACCGGTTGAATGCGAAAAGCGTTCGAAGTTCATCGGATCGGAGGTCTATGGAAGATGCGAGAAGTGGTCCTTTCCCTTTTGAGTGTATAAGGCGGTCGTTGCTAACACCGGTTGATAACGTAAAAGTCGAACTAAACCTAAAATTTATTGTGTATTATACCTGTTTTGCTACTTTTATTACATTAACTATTAATATACACGTAAACCCAGCATGTTTAAATTTAGTAGACGTAGAAGTGAAAGCATACGAAGAAATAGGTGCCAGGTTTAATTTTTTTGCGTAACATTGTTATTATTATTGTTTAATCACTTTAATTGCCTATAAGTGCCTATTAAGTATTAATAGTACCTATTTTGAATTTAATTTAATCAGATACTAGTTTAATAAATATTATACTTTCGAATTTTTTATTGCCTCTTTGGTAAAATCTTTGCATATAATAGTACATTATATATCAAGGTAGAGAAGTTCAGTATTATTGTCTGAGCGCTTGCGAACGGTTGGAAAGAATTTTTTGTTTATTAATTTAACATGTCAATTAAATGCGTGGGGGTACAAGTCAAACCGGCTGTATTTTTTTCTGTCATTGAGATATTTTCAAAGAGTAAATTTTGTTCGAATTTTTTCAAAATGTGATAATTTTAGGTATGTAATTTCTCTGGAAATGGCGGATGGTGGCAATTAAGCATTTTAGAGAACTTGTCTAAACGTTTATTGAGCGAAATTTCGGGTTGTGTTTTCTAAAAGTGACAGCGTGAGAGTTCTCATTATTGACTACTAGTTAATAATGTCCACATTATTAAGCAAACCACTTTGAACAACTGCCGAGAAAGCCTACTTTACAAGTGGAAAATAGGTTAATAATCATGGCAGACGCTAGTAGTGAAAAAAATATTTTGCCTTTAAGCGTTAGCTTACCATATCATAATATGTCATGATGTGACAGTTTGAGCATATCATTGTTATGTGGTTGTTTAAACTCAGGTAGTTTATGAACTACTCACAGTAATACTCGATGTTATATTTTGAAATATCTGGACATATTTATCATGTGCGTCATGCATGACAACTATTTCAAATCTGATTTATCTCGCAAATTGCTCTGGCTGGGAGCCCACTGGATAAAATTGACGAAGATTGGGAGTCTATTATTGTCGTTATAGAGTTAATTTGCGGCCTACACTGTCATTTCGGCTACAAACCTTGAGCTCAACAATGACAATCATAAACTCCTCATCACTAAAATATACTACACACATAAAGCCGGTCACAGAACACCTGATGCCGGTCGTATGGTTAAGTGTGCAAAACATCGGGTTGTAAACCGGCATCAGGCGTTTTGTGACTGGGATGCGTTTGCGAGCATACAATACAATGATACTATATTCAAAGGTAAGAAGAACAAGAGTGATGCAAGTGTGAAACAGGGTGCATGTGTTAAATTGACATTTTAATAGGTTTGAATGAGTAGGATAAGCCGTTTTTTAACCGTTAGGATAGATAAAGTGAAACAGATGATTGTGCATTCCTCGGGGCATTCTAATGACATCCGTGATTCTTATTTCAAATGCAGGATATAAAATGACGTTCAAAATATATAACAATTCTGTGTTTCTATGGAAAAGATCGCACCGACAGAACATAAAGCTTGCTATTTTTGACGTCTCTAAATTAAATTCAGAATTGTCAGAAACTTTACAATGATTTATGTGGGTTCTGCTATGAAATAAAGTTTTGTATTATACACGACGATAAAGGGAAACTGACCATCTCGTGAAAGTTAATTCACTCAATGGTTAAAATATCTCTTTATCGCCTTGTATAATAAATATAACTATTATTAAACAATAGTGGTATGCAATTCGTTATGCAGACAATTTTATAATGATCTTCGTGAAGATATGCGGAGGCGTTTGAATGATTGATTCTTGATTGAACCACGTAGTGAAATCTGTGATCAGACCATTGAATGGGTGCTTATTCAATGGATCAGACTATATAAAACACAATAAATTATTATTTTTTACTAAGGTCGTATATTTTCCAAGACAAATTATATTGAATTGTCTATCACTAATTTACTTTTAAAAAATTGTCCATCATTATCATAATTATAATCTACTCTCACTAATTCTTCATCAGTTTGATATAGTGACTTTAATTTGTTGTGCACACTATCACGACCATAATAATCTAAATTTAAAATCTGTTGTTTCTTAAACATAATTTCTTCACAGACTTGAGGTTTTAAACCTAAATGCTCCTGTAGAAACATTAAAACATCATCAAAATGTTGTAAGTTATTAAATGTTCTACGTTGACTCGTTGTTAACAACTTTTCTAACATAAACACTAAATGGTGATGAAAACATTGAAATGTTAAATTGGGAGGACGTTCTGGAATTGTGAGCTGGTTGCACAAATTGTCCTTGAGCGTGATGTTGAAGCATATATCCAACCATTTTTGTACACATTCAAGTGGGGTACATTGAGTACCAGTAAACAGAGTTGGGTTTGTTAACAAACCATTTGCAACCATTACACCTGAAACAGAGTTACAGTTGAGTTCTATACAATGGATTGACTACCATTGCAACTTGTTTCCTTTTGTAGATTAAGACAATCATCAAAGGTTTGCACACCTCCATTTCCAATAACGGGACAGTGTACATTTTCAACAATCAATTTTAAGATGTTTGTGTCAATTGCCCTTACACTTTGTGTTGGTATCCTTGCCTGCACAGCTAAAAAGTCAATACCTGCTTTTTCTACCTGCCTGCATGTCTCAATAGTTCTCCTGTAATGCTCATGTGATCATGAGTGTTCATTTAATAATGCACTAACCTGTCATCTTTAAGTACCCCTAGCTTCACACTAACAGTGAAGGGTTTCAAAACTTGATTGCGACATTGTCGAACTAGGTCTGATATGAGCTCTGGGTGATTTAGCATTTCACAACCAATACCTAGCTGCTTTGCCCAATTCTGTGGACAGCAGCAGTTAAGGTCAACCCCGTTGCAATACCTACAAAATTAAATAACTGCAGTGACACAAATTGGTAAACTTACGGTGAGACCATATAAGCAGCACCTACAAATTCGTGCACTGTATTTGCAGCAAATTGAACAATTACCGGAGAATCTTCTAGAACTTAAAATTATACAACACAATGGTCATAATGACGATAGCTGTGTACCTAAGTTAGTTGTAAATTCGTTGTCCCTTGCTTTACCACTGCGACAAAACGAGTCTGCCATAATCATCGGGGTGTAGCACAAGTCACAATTGTATTCCCGTACCAGTGTTCGAAACTGCAATCTGTTAAACTGCTGTGAATTTCGGGTTTCTATGTTTATGGTTACTTACTTACTGTAACGGACCATTGGTGCGCAAACTGTTACTAATTGTTTCTGTTCGAATAAATTTAAAATGTTTTCTTTATAATTCATCGTTCTTGTTGGTTTGAACGTATAATTAAGACAAAATGGTTTGTGGATTTACACATAGTTGTTCCAAAGTACTCTTTGGTTTTTCTACCGACTGTTACTATTTTGGGTAAAGTCCAGGGGGCATGTTGGGTCAAAAGGCGTAATCGTATGAAGGCTAGCTGTCTACTGAGATAACAGCGTATTATTTTACTATCGCATCATCAGCACAAAAAAAACATTTATGAATAAATGCGAAAGATATACCATTCGTCCCGGATTTTGCGAGAAGGTCTCGAATCTAAACTATCGGTCCCGCATTAGCGCATGTCCCGCGAATGTCCCGGAAAATGACAATGGACGTCGTGCGAAATGACCTAATATGCAACCACCGTAGCGCTCAGGGTGAAAATTTGTATAACATGGTAAAACTGAACAATAACATTTTAAAGAAAGTTCATGCTTCTGCTAAATATCTGTACTTTAGTTGCCATAAATGTTAAAAAAAATAATCAACAAAAAGTGAGCAAAAGGTGAAGAGTGCACTTTCCAATGCCTCCGATGGTCGCAAGGATTGCGAAATCTGTGAATTTTTTTTAATTTTAATAGCCCTTATGGCCATTTCATGCCCTAACGAGAATAGATACATGAAATAATTTTTAATTTCTGATCGAATGACACCAATACCAAGTCTGTAAGTGGTGTAGTTCCGGAGCCCCTGTGACTCAGACAGACAGACAGACATACATCAAGAGCGCAAAAGTGAGCTTTTTATTTTTTGAAAGTGAATAAACCAAAAATTATTTGCATATTTGTGTATTTTTTATAGTGAAAGGTCTTAGAATTTTATTTGCAATTTTTTCTTCTATAAACAATTAGCATACAATAATAATAATAATAATAATAATAATAATAATAATAATAATAATAATAATAATAATAATAAAGTACCCCTGTGGGTTCGGGGATAGAATAGGCCCACTCTCGCCCTACAGATCGTAAAAGGCGATCAATGGGCACTAAAGGTGACAACTCCAACCACCTTTAGTACTTACCTACCCACTTTACTTTCCAACTCCCACGCCCATGTTCCCGACTCTCCTACATATACACAATACGCAGGTGGATATTTGCTTACGCGAATATCTTAAAGAGTGACGCCTTCACGTGTTCCTAGTCACCCCATATTCTCATGAAAATGGAGTTTAAACAAAGCCTCGGAAAAATGCCGCTACCTGAGGAGCGTCAGGGCACGTCTGGAGCTATCGCTGGGCGTTGCAGCATGCGAGCCGATAGTGACGAGTTGGTGATCAGGCGGCCGCTCGTCGGGATACCCGAAACCTTTACAGCCGAAAGAAGACCACGAAGACGACAACGACCACTTGAAGAGGACCACCAAGAAGAAACCTTTGTGCCTGCTTCTCAACCGCTTGTGGATGGGACCAGCGCAAAGGAAACCTCCAAAAGACGTATGAAATGGGACGAAGGGATGAATCGCTTCATTTTCGGTACGTATCTGGAGATCACGAAGATGGAAACGGGCAGGACAGCATACAGAGGTAAACTATATTACGCGTTCATTACACAATACCCACATTTAGCACACTTAACAGAACAACGCATTGCAGACCAACGTAGAGTTATTATTAAAAATACACTCCTTACATTAGACACACAGGAACAAATCAGGCACGAAATTGAAGCACTACTCAACACAAACAACACACTCGCCGTACAAGATAATACATCCGTTCTAAACAACTCTGAAATACAGACATTTGCGACACTGCAGCCATCGATAGATACAAATAATCACACGAACCAAACACTCACATCCCTTCAAAAAGAATTCGACAATGCATTGTTAGAATTCTCAAACACTGACCCAACACAAAGACCACGAATACCTAAACAAAGTCACACTACAAAATTACGTACACTTTCACAAACATTAAATGACCACATTTTACCAAATTACATTAACGATAACACAAGCTTACATCGACTACACTTTGTTGTGTATTGCGGTGCGGTTGCAGTTTCTAGATGTAACGGTGCAAGAATCGCAATAAACAAACAACAGCACACAACAAAAAAACGCTCACCCCCGGCCTGGGAAAAACGCCTGATAACTCGCATCGATGACATCAGACGTGACTTAGGTCGGATTACACAATACATACAAGGAACTCGTTCTTCAAAACTAACACGACAAGTACAACACATAACTACAAAACTAAACAATCACACCACACGAGAACAAAATACAAACTATAACGAACATAGAGATACACTGACACAAAAACTATCAATATACACAAACCGTCTAAAACGCTATAGGGAAACTGCAGATAGAAAGCGCCATAACACACAATTTAAACATAACGAAAAACTATTTTACAGATCACTAACACAAAACAGCACTAATGAAAAACTCATTCCACCATCTCTACACTCACTCCAGCAATACTGGTCTGACTTATGGACCAAAGACATTAAACACAATCCACAAGCCCCGTGGATTACCACAGAAACCACACGCACTGAATACATTACCCCTATGAATAACACAAACATCACTACAACAGACATCATTCAAACTATTAATCACTTACATAACTGGAAAAGTCCAGGCATTGATAACATTCACAACTTTTGATGGAAATATTTTACCTACACTCACTCTTACCTTGCGCAACAATTTACTGAACTTCTTAATTCACCAGATCGCACTCCTGCATTCTTTACACAAGGTATCACTTACATGCTCCCAAAAGACAACAATACGCAAGATCCATCTAAATATAGACCAATTACATGCCTTCCTACAATATACAAAATTCTTACATCATGCATTACAAACAAAATATACCAACACTGTACTGATAACAACATTCTATACGAAGAACAAAAAGGGTGTACCAAGTATTCCAGAGGCTGTAAAGAGCAACTCATTATAGACTCTGTTATACTTGAACAATCCAGACATAACAAACGAAACATACACACTGCATACATTGATTATAAAAAAGCATTTGATTCAGTACCACACTCTTGGTTACAACAAGTACTCTCAATATACAAAGTCAGCAACAATATTACACAATTCCTCAATTACATAATGTCATGTTGGAACACTACGTTAACACTTACACTAAACGACACAAAACTTATTACCGACCCAATACAAATTAAAAGAGGAATTTTTCAAGGCGATTCTTTAAGTCCGCTCTGGTTTTGTCTTGCTCTTAATCCACTTTCATATTTGTTAAACACTACTAACTTTGGGTACAATATTAAACACAACCACGAAATACATCACAACATTACACACCTGTTTTACATGGACGATCTTAAATTATACTCTTCCACATGCATAAAACTTAATCACCTTCTACACATTACCGAAACATTCTCACGTGACATACAAATGGACTTTGGAATCGATAAATGTAAAACACAACACATCACAGCTGGTAAAAGACAACTTTTAGATTATGAGCTAGAACAGGGTAATTTAATAAATTCCATGGACGAGAATGAAACTTATAAGTATCTTGTTTTCAGCAAAACACACACATTAAACATACGAGTATAAAACAAACACTTATTACACAATACCTACAAAGAGTACGCAGTATACTTAAAACAAAATTACACGGTAGAAATACAATCAAAGCTATTAACACTTATGCCACACCAGTGCTTACATACTCTTTTGGGATTATACGTTGGACAAATACAGATTTAGAACAAATACAGAGAAACACACGTACACTATTAACAAAACACCATATACATCACCCTCACTCCTCTACTATACGACTTTACCTTCCTCGTTCGGAAGGAGGTAGAGGACTTACAGATATAAAAATATTGCACCAAACACAAATACACAATTTGCGACAATACTTTTATAACAAAACAGATACTTCAGTCCTACACAAAACAGTAACATATGCAGACAAATCTTACACACCACTTAACCTACACGAAACTAATATACTCCCACCTCCATCCAAACTTACATACATCACAAATAACATACAGACATGGAACCAAAAGCCGTTACATGGACGATTTCCGCAAGAGGTTAGTCAGGATTGTGTTGATTCTATAGCAACGCACACTTGGTTGTCTGAATGTGATGTCTTCCCGGAGACTGAGGGTTTCATGTTAGCAATACAAGACCAGGTCATTAATACACGCAACTATAAAAAACACATACATAAAGACAAAACAGTGACAAACGATTCTTGTCGACTCTGTTCACAAACATCAGAAACAATCCAACATATAATATCGGCATGCACACGACTTGCACAAACTGAATACAAACATCGACACGATCAGGTAGCTAAAATCATACATCAAAAATTAGCACTTAAACACAATCTCATAACAGATAAGACACCATACTACAAATACACGCCACAGATCATACTTGAAAACAACACACACAAATTATATTGGGACAGGACACTACTCACAGACAAAACTATCCACAATAATAGACCAGATATTACACTTATAGATAAAACACAAAAATCCATTTGTATTATAGACATTGCCATACCCAACACTAACAACTTAACTAAAACACATGCAGAAAAACACCGCAAATACACCGATATAGCTATCGAGCTTAAGACGCAATGGAGAATGAAATCTACTGTTATAGTTCCCATTATTCTTAGTGCTACTGGAGTTATACCAAAGACAATACACCACAATTTACAACTATTAGGTTTAGACAAAAACACATACAGACATTTACAAAAAGCAGTCATTATCAACACATGCCATATTGTTCGTAAATTTCTAAACATAACACACGATACTACATACACAAATGATCCACAACGTATACATGTAAACAACAGCACTCGCTCGCAACACGGTACACAACATACTGTAATATCTCCACCTCTAATAGTAGGGGAGCTAGCACGAAATCCACTGAACGAGAATGATCAAAATTTTAACCGATGGAGTTCCATTTTGCCCTATCAGAGTATGCTAAAATCGATCGTCTGCCGCCTCAGGTCATACGACTTAAGGCGCTGCGGGTACTTCTTGTGCTACCAATTCTGAAAGGTTGTTTTTCGAGAAAATAAGTTATACACTAAATGAAAACGTTGATAATAGCTCTTAAAAAAATA